AACCTCGATGCTGGTGTGCCTCGGTCGACTCGGTAGGCAATATGACGCTCTTTCGTTGTTGCTATCGATGGGGTGATTTACCGATAGTGGTGATGATTTTGCTGATGATGTTGCGATGATGCTGGGTTAAAGCTGGACCGTAATGAAAGCACTCGGCATATCATTAACGGCTTCCTCACTCGCGCACTAGTCGTCTAAACACTATGCCAATTAACTTTGGCGAGAAAAAACCCTCGCGTGGGGAAAAACTCAAAACTAAATGATAGTGTCGTACAACGAGACCGATGCGACTTGATCGGCTCAGCGTGCGAGACGGAATGGGCTCCATTGCTGACTGTCACTTTCTTCAACGTTAGCTGAATGTATTCGCTAGTTGGTGCAGGTTAAACAGAATGGTAGTGAACCCAGCCAAATGCTCCGCTATTACGTTCTCACGAAAACAACAACCGATAATATTTAGATATGACCTGCTTGGCTCGACAATCGAACGCGTGAATCAGGTGAAAAACTTGGGTGTGATCTTGGATTCGCAGCTTTCATTCAAGCAACACATTGCATATGTTGTTGATAAGGCGTCAAAAACTTTAGGGTTCATTTTTAGGATAACTAAAAACTTCACTGATATCTACTGTCTAAAATCTCTCTTTGTTCGCTTGTTCGATCGACGCTTGAGTATTGTTCAGCGGTTTGGAACCCAAACTACATCAACGGTGCCGAATCTGTTCAACGTCGCTTTCTTCGTTTTGCGTTGCGTAGATTGCCTTGGAATGATCCGTTTCGATTACCAAGTTACGAAAGCCGTTGTCAACTTATCGACCTAGAACTTCTCCGGACTAGAAGAGACACAAGCAGAGCCCTAACCGTGGCCGATATCCTACAAGGAAGGACAGATTGTGAGGCTATCCTGAGGCAAATTGACCTGAATGTTCAACCCCGACCGCTTCGTAATAACCTTATGCTAAGACTGCCTCTACGTCGCACAAATTATGGAGCGTACGGTGCGATTTGCGGACTGCATCTGCATATGTCTTCGACTTTCATCTCTCCCGTGATGCGCTTCGTCGAAAGTTTTCTTCTGTTTTTCGCCGGCAGGAGTTAAGATATTGACTATAAGATATACGTTTTTTAATGTTTTTTTATGTTATGACCATGCTTGAATTTTTTTTTTTACCTTAGTTGATAAGGTTAAAATCATTGAGGCTTCATCCAGCCTGTTGATTTAAAACAACAATAAACCAAAAAAAATATTGAGGCGTTATTGGTCTTAATGACGTAACCTAAACTAAACATAAAAAGTACTTAAACTAAACATCAATAAGTACCTAAAAAGAAGGAAAATTACTTGACAAATTAAACTGATCTACTCACTTAGAAATACCTAATTTATCACGTGACGGAATCCATCTTTTATGTAAATTGATGTAAATTTATGTTATGTAAAAATTGATTTAAGTAAAAATTGATGTAAAAATTTTATGTAAAAATTGATGTTCGTATACGTCAGTCTCAGAGCACCTAAATTTTCATGAATTTTTTTAAGTGTGTAGAAAAAAATGAACTAAACCTCCGGCGAAGCAGCTGGCAAGTCAAGGCCAAAGAAGAATATCTGTAAACCACCGATTGCGCCTAACATGCTAGTTCGCTGTATGAGCAGGCGCAGCATTAAAATATTCCGTAGGGCTCGGGGTTGAACATTGATGTCAACTTGCTCAAGGATAACAGGGCAATCGGTGCGTCCTTGCAAAATATCCGCAATTAGCAATGCCCTTGCTGTATCTCTTCCGGCCGACAGGGGCTCCAGATGGATCAGTTGTAAACGACTTTCGTAGCTAGGCAATCGGAAGGGATCCGTCCACGGCAGTTTACGAAGCGCGTATCTCAGGAACCGTCGCTGCGAACCGACTCAACTCTTGCGGCACCTATGTTGTAGTGAGGAGTCCAGACAACCGAGCAGTATTCTAATATGGAGCGAGACAAGGAGCAGTTCAACGATTTAAGGCAATAGATATCCGTGAAGTCTTTGGCAATCCTGAAGATCAACCCGAGAATTCTGGAAGCTTTGTCGAGAATCAAATCTAGGTCCTTAATTTGGCTGACGTGCTCAATTTCAGTGCCTAACAAAACATGCTTGAACATAATAGTCTCTTTCTTGCGCGAAAAAGAGATAACCGAGCATTTGGACGGGTTAACCTCCATACGATTCAGAATACACCAATCAGCAAAAGCATTCAGCTGTCGTTGAAGAAAGCAACAGTCTTCAATCAGGTGAGTTCGAAGGACGAGTTTAAGGTCATCTGCGTAAGATAATCGTGGTCCCTCAATTACCAGATTTACGTCGTTGAAGTAACTCAGGAAAATCAGTGGTCCCAGGTGACTATACCCTGGATTAAGCCAGACGTGGCAGCGAACAAACGGGACTGGTGATCACAAATGACAACAGTAAGATAGCGATCGGTGAGGTACTGAAGTGCCCAACGTAGAGAAACTTTGTTTTACTCGCGTGGTCTTTCTTTTTTCGTAAAATAAAAGACAGTAATTCCATTTCCTACTGTAGGTAAAAATGCTCTTTGATGATCATTTAATCTAAGGTTGGAACTGTGCTTGTACGCACCTAGCAAACCTCTTATAATACCTCATCAGAACAACTGCCCCGATTATTTATTCTTCAAAAACTTTTATACATGAATTTGTTACTTAAACTCTCTGATTCCGGATATCCAGAGGACCGTATTCTGGCAACCCAGTAGCATAATCGATATGTTGATGTCATAATTCGTCTTTGCTAATGATTATATGTAAGGTCTATTTTCTGGAATTGACTAATCTCCCGGTGATTCCGGATATCCAGAGGACCGTTTTCTGGCCACTTGGTTGCAAAATAGATATTGTGATGGTATATTTCATCTATTCTCATGCTTGTATGCAATTTAGGAAAAAATCGCGGATCTCTAGGTCTACTTTCAGGAAATGACCATTTTCCCGGTGAATCAGAATTTCCACAAAGCCACATTTCACGGGTTTTATCGTTTCGATTGGCCACCCACAACTCTAATCGGTTACTTGCCTGTTCCGTTTGAAAATAGAAGTCATACCTTTCATGTAGTTGCTCAAATTTAAGATGTGGTAACCAAATTGCCGAGAACCAGTCATGTCAACATGAATCGACACGCATTTTGCTCGGGACTTTTCCGGGTTTTTCCGTTCCGACTGGCCAACTACAGGTCCAATTGGGTTTTTATCTATTCAAAATAAAAATAAAATAGCCATATCTTTCGATTGGTGGCTGAATCATAACGATTGGTCATCGCATTGCTGAGAACCAGCCATGTCAACTATGAATCGACACGCCTTGTAGCCTTGGTACTTTGAAGAAGTTTCGATGGCTTGTGATTATGTCAATTAATCAACATTCAGTCATTGAAAGAGCGTGGGGATTATACTGTGGTCTCTTCCGTGAACAATATTGTTTCGCAACGCATTGACTAAGCTTATTTATTATCAAGACTTAATTTATTGTACCTTCTCGTCAAATGCGTAATCGACATTTGTAGATCGTAATTACGTGAAATATGGACCGATAAATCGGATGATGTCTTTTTAAAATCTACATTGTGAAATGATAGACCTAAATATGCCACCCCTAAAACTGAAAAAAATATTTCCAAGCACTGCGAAATCATAGATCATAAGTTATAATGTTATTATGTAGTCTACGGTCTTTGATTGACGAATAAATAAATAAAGAATACGAAATCCTCGGAAAAATTCTAATGGGAGTGTTCGATTTGTTCAGACTTTGACAGTTCATTTGGCTCAAAACATTCTCTCCGCCCATCTCTCCCTCTGAGTATTTCTAAGGTTGATCAGATACGGCACGGCACAAACAGTCTTCGGGATAAGAATCCTTCACAATAATAGCACTAGCTATCGCACAAAAGGCACAACATTCACAGTAATACAGTCACAAAACAAGCAAACTCGCAAAAAAGGCATCTGAATGACTTAAGCACACCGAAAATCACGAAAAAAAAAACTGCTGTATCAAAACAACAACACTTCACTGCCAGACAATGCTATCATTTTCCTGGAAAGGTTGCCGAAGAAAAAGAGGCTGCCGACAATAATCGCACTCACCAGAGAAGTTTGGAGCGTTGTAAAAACGTTTTAAGCCCTTTTTGGACAATTAACCACTTCATTCGAGCAGTTAAAATGACGTTACCACCACTCGAACTTTGAAATAAAACATAATTTTGAGATTTTTTTCTTCCAGAACCACGAGAAAAGTAGCCATCATTTGTGCGTTTCATAAAAAAAATAGAAATTAGTTGGTTCAGTTTTGAGGAATCTCTGGTAGAAAGTCACGCCAAAACTGCTTGACAAAGTGGTCAATTCTGTCGCTTGCTGGATTCCCAAGCAGCACGCTTCCATCGAAATAAGTTGCTGTAACATGATTGTGACTGGAATAAGTTTCACACAAGTAACTACAATTGTTCTGTGACAAGTGTTCTGCTAGGGTTGGATAGAATAGCAAGCAGCAGATAAATGAAAATAAACAAACCCGCCATATATGTGCGTGACGCTGAGAAATAGCTAATAAAAGTGTGGAGGCTGCTTAGATTGACGAATATACGTAACTTCCCCTATTTAAATTAGTGTTGCAATACTATTCTATGCGAGTTCATTATGGGTAGTGTATGTATTACTCGCACTACTTTGCTGCTGGTTTCCCATAAGCGAACTGTATCCCGGATGGGTAAACTATCTCACAAATGGTTTGGATGATACCCCGAACACGTCGTTTAGCTCTCTTTTATGGTTATTTTTATTAGGGTTTGGAAAAATTAGACACGATCACGTTTTTCACCGTTTGGACCACTGTGCAAGTAACGGAACTACTTCGTTTTGAAAACAGAACGACTGTAATGTGACGTGATTTGCTGAAAACCTATTGTTTTATAAAAATTACGTTGTTAAAAATAAATTATTCATTTACATTTCAGGCAACCTTCCAATGAGTCACTCCTACCATCGGTTACGGAAGGCGTTTCAAGCCCCGGTGGAAGCCCTGAACAGCTGTCACCGTACAAGGTTCCCAGCATCGTGTCGACTCCGTCGCAGGATTCTTCCAATACAGCAACTGCCACCGAACCCGATCGCATTGAAGCAACCACTCCGGACAGCATCGACCAAATGGTAAATGATGACGCAACAACTTAGACGTAGTGCTTAATTTTCCCTGCGTTAGCTTATTTCCTAAACCTTTTTATCAAACGATAGCAAACTATACTTTCCCTTACCTTTCTTTTCCTCTTTTTCTTTTATTCTAGAATTTGCCAAATCGTGCATACTTAGAAGTTCTGCTCTAATTCGATGCTAGTGATTTCTGATTTAGCTTTTTACCCAAAGATTTTAAAAACTCTGAACCGCAAGCAATTGGTGACAAAAGCTATTTAAATTTTATCTGCAAATTGTAACTTTTGTTATACTTAAATCACGCCGTCTCGCAATTACAACAAATAGAGCGTAAGAAAAATCGTACAGCGTTGTTACTTTTACATTCACTAGATTTTACTTGTACTTATTGTGCATACGGAATTTTGGCGGTTTTTTGCATTTAATAGTTGACAAAATAAAATATAAACGGAATAAGGATAGCTTTGAACAAACATTTTTAATGTTAATGGTACTGAACGGAAACTAGAATTAATAAGCGTGTACATATTTACAAATTTGATCTTTTTAATATGTAGTCCAATTGAAAAAAAAAGAAGTGTTTTTTAAAAGTAAACTAACATTTGAATACACATATATCATTATTGACCAAAAATTGAATGTTTAACTACTTAAGAGTTTGATATTACTTAAGGCTCTGCTATTGGAGGCAGAGCCGAACATTCAGAAAAATTACGCTTTAAACATTACTATTAATATTATGAACTTAACTTTAAAGGTAGTAAACAAAACCTATAATGTGAGCGTCAGAACTTGCCATTGTTAAGAATTGATTAAATTTGGCCAAAAAAAGCAAGCATCACCGTACCGTAATTAATACTGGCAAGTTGTGATACAATTTTTTGCAGATCTTTCTCTTTGAATCTTATGAAATTAAACTTACCTAGCGAGTATATTCAATGTAGACATAGGCAATTTGCATCGGTAATAAAAACAACTTCGTCAAATTTCGATAACTAACTAGCAGAAGTGAACAGGGTTGATATGCAAGAATAATACCCATAATGATAGAATTCCAACCACTTAAGCTTTAATACTACCTTTAAAACTATGATTAGAACTGACAAGTATGAACCGTTGAGTTTCGTCTCCACTTGGGACAAGCACACATCGGGACCATTTTAGTACGTTCCTCGACGATAATATGCACTACTTTACAAATGCCTTCTGTTACTCATGTTCTATTACTAGTGTATACTCTATCTCTCTAAATCCACTGGAAAGCAGTTGCGAAACTGTATTTCCAGGCAAGTTGTTTCTGTATTATTCCTGATTAGGGTTGATGGATCGTTTCATCGAATAGTCTCGTAATGCAGATTTGGTTTGCTATGTGGATTTAAGCAGCCACTAGAAAATGACATGTAACGTAAACTACCGGGCATGTAAATATGTGATTTGAATTCAAACCAACGATTCACTTGTTAAAAAGATTGTATACATGTTGCATGCAAGCTTAGTGGTTTGATATAACATTTGAAATATTTCATGACATATTTCTTTCCAACTTACCGAATCTACAATGTAAACCTGTATGATATATGACATCCCTATAACACACGCACACACACAGAACATAAATTTACGATTCAGACAAAGCCAAAGACCTTTAGAAAAAAAACGCGCTCAATTTGTCGAACCCTGTCATGTTTGTTTATGAATTATAGAAGCGTATCAACGAGCAAGCAAAATTAGGAGAATTTACATGTTTTTACTTGCCCGTTGCTACACTCCGAAAATTAAAAATACCCCGGACAGGCTGATACAGTTTTGTAGCTACTCAGCTAATTAAGCGTGTTCCAAAGGTTTAGGGAACAAAAAGATACATTTACTTCTTTGCCATTTGAAACCACTGGCGTTTAACTTTGAAAACTTCGTCAAGCCCTTCACATATAGGACCAGCTAGGCTCTATGTCCTTTTATCCGTGGAAATTTCAACCACTAAAATTCACTATCGGCCAATGAAATGATCCGCATCCACTCTCTCTGTAGACAAAAACAACATGTTTTTACCATACAAACAAACAAAACCGAACCATTCCAACTGCAAAGAGACTCCAAATACAACGAGTAACAAGAAGTTAGAAACCAAGAATTGGAAACCATTCGTGATTGTTGATACAATTTTGACAATTAATATGACAGCGTGTTTTGGCGCAGCAAAAATACCCTGTTTCGTAGTTTCGTTATACATTTTTATACACCGTTTATTATATTTAGAAGCTTTAACTAGCAAACGAAACGTAAAATTAATCCCAAAACCGAACTTGAGAGGGGGGGGATTGGGCCCAAAAATAAGCGAAATAAACCTAAAAGGCAAACTGATGTAGAATTAGAGTATATAATGTGTGAAAAGTGCCCAATCCCATTTCTTCATTTAAAAAAACCACGCATATCAAAACAAATGTAACATAAACTTAAACTTCAAAACTTTTAAAAGAAACAATAACTTGCTATTAATGCTTTGATAAATAGCAACGTCTAAAGGCGTTGTAAAAAAAAAAGTTATTCACTTGAGTCCAAATGTACCAAATTTAAATAAACAGCGTGAATTCCAGCATAGAATAACCTAATCATTTTTATTTAGGAAAAATCTCTCTATTTACAATTTCATATCTACTATCCCGTTGTAAGTAAAATGCACAAAACTCACTGGAATATGCGTTCAAACTGAAAGACCTTTATCAGTACCCATTCCCAGGCCATTCCCTATTCCACAGAAAAGTAAACAAGCAGAAATAGTTATAATGTGGTTCCCCCTTGTTTGTGTTCTTTTCTTTCTACTGACAATCATTAGTAGTATAGCTTGAAGCAACCAAGTGCTAATAACAAACTTAATTCTACATTTCTGAACCCACTTACCAATGTATTTTAAGCTCCCCCTTTCCTTTACAAGATCTAAGAAACCCACAGCACAGAAAAAGCAGCATCATGACTTTAGAAAGTCACTCCTGCACTGTCTACACGGAATGCAATTCTTTGCACTTGAATGTCTGAAAAAGTTATCTCCTCCTCTTTCGTTTTCCCGACTAAGTAAGTAAAAACTTCACCCTATTACCGAAAAAAAAACAAGCAAACAAAAACAAAAACGATTGAAATGTGATCCACTTATGTACTAAGAAAAAGAAACAAATATCAAATTGTTAAGTTTTAGAATGTGGTGATTTTTTAAATTTTTGTGGACAATACCCCCGGATTGATTGCATCGGAACAGTTTCGTTGTGAATGAGAAGATCATTTGTGTGAGCCGTATGAAATTTAAATTCATTTTTTTTTTTTAGTAAAGAGGCACAAGATGTTTTCTCGCGCAATTGTTAACATTAATTGAATCTACGAATAAAGTTTAATCAGTTTTATTTAATCGGGGCTCCGTTGCGTCCATTTCACTCTATCAATGTATCCGAAAGCCGTGTGATTAGTGGAATGTTCTTTGCAATCTTGAAATCAATTTTGGCAGCAAGTATCCAACACAGCAAAAAAATAATTTTGATATCACGTCAAAGTGGATGCACTACAGTCATGTCGAAAATATGGTGTAATATTACCTGCTAAAAAGGACAAAATTATCATTAATACAATGCATGAACTGACATTACGCTGCTTTTGCTGCATTTGTTTATTTATGTGGTCATAAAAATTACATGAAATTTTCGACATGATTGTAGTGCATCCACTTTGATGTGATATCAAAATTATTTTTTTGCTGTGAAGTAACACAGAAAACATCGTTAATTTTTTTTTTTATTTGTTTCTTAAAGTTGCCAAGAAATACATCTTGATACGACACATATGTTTCATATTTGTTGCTTGATTTACTTTAGTTCTCAAATTGCTGCGTTTTTCCGTCACAGCTGGCTGGATATTCCCATCCATGAGGAGAACAGGAAACCTGTTGAGTCTTAATAATAAAACTCAACTGCTTATGTAAGGCGCAGCTACAAAGCCAGATCATTCTGGAGGTGGCTGGGTTCGATTCCAGGTCCGGTCTAGGAATTTTTCGGGTTGAAGAAAATTTCAGTTTGATCTCGAGGAGAAACTAAAGGAAAATATTTCAGAGGATAGTTCCAAGAAAATGTAGAAGTGAGTTAATCATATTGTCGAGCAGTTTTGGGACGACATTCTTTCTACCAGCGGTTTTACGAAACTGACGCAATAATTTCCTGATTTTTCAAGCTTAGCATGAATAAGCTACTCGAGATCTTTTCGAGGTTCTAGAAGAAGAAAAAATCAAAATATTGTTCCACGACACAACAATAAATAAATTTTAATATTCCAGGCTCCAAGAAGATGCACTACAAACATGTAGAAAATTACATGTAATTTTTATAGCCACAAAAATAATCAAATGCAGTAAAAGTAGCGTAATGTCAGTTCATGAACTGTATTAATGATAATTTTGTCCTTTTTGGCAAGTAATATTACACCATTTTTTTGATACGATTGAAGTGCGTCCACTTTTATTTTTTTAATAATTACTTTATTTGTACAGCCTCAATCGAATAAACTTTACAGAGCCGTTGTCGCGGTTGTCTCGAGGATAGTGGAGATTTACAATATTTTGGATGGAAAAAGGGAGTAGGAGGTTTGAAATGTGATTTACGATACAATATTTAATTAATCCTAAAACGTGACCTTATTTCTATTCATCTTGAAAACAAACATTAAAAAACCCTCACGTACAAAATACAAACTAAACACAAGGTTAATCAAACTAATTATCTAAGGTTAATAGTCTTAAAGTAAACATATATGAGTTTCATAAACTTCAGATCGCACCCAGCCAAAACATCCCGAATTGGAACATTAGTTTGTCTACCTCGAGCCCGAAGGGAATCGTACAGCTCAGATCTGACTCCACGATGCTCAGCACAAGACCAAATAATGTGATCGGCGTCTTGGTAATCTTGTCCACATTCACAGAGATTCCTGTCCCCCAGCCCAACACGGATCAAGTGAGCGTTTAACGAATAGTGATCGGATATGAGGCGAGACATCACATGAATGAAGTCTCGAGTTCTCGACCCACCTCCAACCCCTTGAACCAAGGACTCTTCGACACCTTAGGGATGATCAAATATAGCCATCGTCCCAGACTCCCTTCACTCCATTTATGTTGCAAGCTGGCGAGTGACTGTTGACGATAAATTCGTTGTAGGCGATTTGTCGATCGTAAATATCGCCTTCCATAGCGCCCACCATAGCAAGGACTCACTGCCCGGAATCGAGCAATGAGATGGGACCCATGCAAAGGTGATGACAAAAGATCTTAAAGATAAAGCACTTAGAAGCTCTCGTATTTTCATGAGAAAATACGAGGAGTGTTTTACCGGCCTCATGGAGCGAATAGCCTCGACAGAACTGAGACAATCCGTAAAAATAAAATAATGATCTGGTGCAAGTAAGGCGATAGTTTCTTGCGTATAATGTATTGCCGCCAGCTCAGCAACATACACGGAACAAGGAGCATGAAGCATTCGAGAGATGCAATGAAATTCGTTAAAAATACTAAATCCAGCGGACGCCTCTATTAGTGATCCATCTGTGACTTGGCCAAACTTTGCAGTGTATAATGACGGAAAAATCATGGAACGATGATGTTCTGCGCCTCCGCGAATCTCTTGCGTCATAGATAAATCAAAATACACTGAATTGCCGAAGTCGGAGAAGCATACACGATGAGGATTATGCTGTGAAGGGCTGACATCCTGTGTTGTGTATACGTAGTACAATGACATAAAACGAGTTTGAGGGTTTAGCTCAAGAAGCTTCTCAAAGTTTTCGATTACCAGTTGGTTCATAACTTCACAGCGGGTTAGGAGTCTGAGGGACAGTTCCGAAAACCGATCAGAGAGTGGCAACATGCCCGCCAACACTTCAAGACTCATCGTATGAGTCGAGTGCATGTATCCTAACGATACGAAGACAGCGATACTAGATCCGTTCCAGTTTGATGATGTGCGTTTTAGCCGCCGACTGGAAGCAAAAACTACCGTACTCTAAGATAAAATCGTTGTCCGGTACAACGTTAGAAGATCTTGCGGATGAACTCCCCGCCACTTTCCGGTAATTGCGCCACTTTCCGCGAGACAGTCGTTCGTTCTCTTGCCCCTACGGAAACCAAATTGAGTATCTGAGAGTAGGTGGTTCATCTCAACCCATTTGTCCAGGCGAAAAAGGATCATTTTCTTTAACAATTTTCGAATGCACGATAATATCGCTATGGGACGATGCGAGTTATGATCTGACGCGGGTTTCCCAGGTTTTTTTAATGGCTATTACTCTCACTCGCCTCCAATCATCTGGCACAATATTGAGCTCCAGGAACTGACAAAACATGTTCAACATGCGCCTCTTAGCGACGTCTGAGATCTTCAACAAGTTGAATTTGGTCCTATCAGCCCCGGAGCCGAATTGCTACACGAAAGGAACGCGAGCGAGAGCTCCAGCTGGTTGATCTTGTCTACCGAATTCGTCGTTTCACGAGGAATCATCTGTGCCGACATAGAATCAGGACATACTTTTCGCGCGAACTTGAGAATCCAATGATCTGAGTACTCCTCGCTCTCGTTGTTTGAAGACCGGTTACGCATCCTTCACGCCGCGTTCCAAAGCGTATTCATCGACGTTTCGCGCGATAATCCGTCCACGAATTGCCGCCAGTATCCGCATTTCTTGGCTTTGATGAGGCCCTTGAGTTCGCGTTCAAGAGCCGAGTACGCTTCGAAATGCACGGGTGTTCCACGTTTCCGGAAAAGCTTAAACACGTCGGACTTTTTACGATAAACCTCAGTGCATCGCTGGTCCCACCAAGGGGAAGAAGGTTTCCTACGGAAAGACGTTCCTGGAACCAGCCGAGTATGAGCTTGAAGCGCGCTGTCAAAAATCAGATTGGAGAAGAAGTTATATTCCTCCAACGGTGGAGGCCCTTCTATCGACGTTAGGGCATCTTCTATCACATTCTTGAACTTTGTCTAATCGATATTACGGGTAAGATCGTACGCGACGTTAACGGGTTCCGACGGATTGAACCCACTGGCAACTGAAACTTTGATCGGCAAGTGATCACTACCGTGGGGATCTATTTATTTGTTTGTCGTCAATCAGTGTAGACCATTTTACAATTGTTGTCTTAAGTGCTATTTTTACAATTTTGTCTTTGTTTATATTTTTATAATATGTCTTAAGAACAAGTTAAAACATTACTTCTAGTTGACGTTATGCGAGGAATTAAAATATTGCTTTAATTTGGTTTTTGTCATTGTAAAGTCAATGTTATCGCAGTGTTTATTATATGTATCCATCATTTGGTTCAAGGGTCCAAATTTGGCATAATTCGTACGAATTAGGCATTTCATAAATGCCTAGATGGTGTATATAAATTTAATGATGACAATAGTTCTATTGAATCAATTCGATGTGATACGATATCGTTTACGAAAGAAATCGTAGCAAATTCACGACGCTCTTTTAATGTTTGGATATTTATGAGCATACACCGAGCTGTGTAAGATGGCAGAGGAAATACAGTCCAACCTAACTTGCGGAGTTCATACAATAGAAACTGCTTTTGAACGGACTCTATTCTTTCTTCGTGTGTGATTGAAAAAGGAGACCAAACTATGCTGCAATATTCTAATATCGACCTTACATAAGCAATGTACAATGTTTTTATCGTATAAGGATCGTGAAAGTTATAGCAGAAACGTTTTATGAAACCAAGCATGTTGTTAGCTCTGTTAATAATTGTGTTATAATGATCGGTAAAAGTAAGTTTTAAGTTGCCCCGTAACGTGGGTAGATCACCTTTTCGTGGTACGTTACGGGATGTAAGATCTACCACCGATTCCTAGTCCTGACTACTTCAAACTAGGGGAACAGGATTTTTCAGTAATTCAAGGAACACATCTTAGTCCTTGTTACTTTTTATGCCTTGTTGATAGTGACAAGACTCGGCTTTGTCTACCGAGGATGATCTTGAAACAAGGCAAAAAAAATGAGTTAGTTGTCTTCATCTAAGTGATTCCTAATCTTCTATCCGTTGTTCCCTAGTTCCTGACTACTTCATACTAGGGGAACAGGATTTTTCAGTAATCCAAGGAACACATCTTAGTCCTTGTTACTTTTTATGCCTTGTTGATAGTGACAAGACTCGGCTTTGTCTACCGAGGATGATCTTGAAACAAGGCAAAAAAATGAGTTAGCTGTCTTCATCTATGTGATTCCTAATCTTCTATTCGTTGTTCCCTAGTTTGAAGTGGTTAAGACTAGGGTTCTGATGCATGGTCATTATCGGTGTCATACCTTAATTTTGTTGCTAAGGAATTCAATTTTGACTGACAAAGGGGCGCGCCTTTGGAGGGT